CAAACACATCCCAGCACATGAATGCTCATAGCGCACTGTTCATAATAGACAAAATGTGGAAACATCTCAAATGTCCGTCGACAGATTAATGGATGAAAACAATGTGGCCCATCCGTACACGGGCTAGTATTTGGGCATAAAAAGGAATAAAACACTGACACTTGCTATAACATGGATAAACCTGGAAGACAAGCTAAATGAAAGAAGCCAGTCACCAAAGGACAAATATTATATAATCCCCCTTACGTGAGGCACCTCGAATCATCAAATGCATAGAGACAGGAAATAGAAGGGTGGTTGCCAGAGGAACAGGGACCATCAGTCTGGGGTGATGAGAAGATTCTGGAGAATGATGGTGGTGATGGTTATAGAACAGTATGGATATATGTAATGCCTCTGAACTGTATACTTAAAAGGGTTACATTGGTAAATTTTGTTACCCTTAAAAAAAAAAAAAAAGGAAACTTTTCACTACCTCCCATGGGAGGGGCTGGGAAACGGTCCTTGCCACTCTAAACAAAATAATGTTATCAGAATAAAGGCAGCTGCTCTACCATTCTGTTAAAACGAAACATGAGCAAGTATGAGTGTTGGTAAAGGCAGCTACACACAAAAATGGAGAAGGCTCGAAAAAGAATCAGGAAAGCAATGATCTCTTCCTCTCCACGAGAACCAGTGTCAAGTAATACCTCTTTAAGAACCGTCTTTGGACCACCCATCACATATGCTTCAAAGTCTGGAAACCTCCCTTCCGCCCACAACTTCCCCTCAGATCATTCTGTACTATCCTTCCAGAAGCTATAATGGTTACTCCTGGCTCAGGTATATTCTTTGCTGGTTTTTCCAAAGTACTTCTGTGCATGTTGGTCAATCACCAAGATAGTGAGCGCCCTGTGTTTTTTTGTTGTTGTTGTTTGGTTTTTAATGTTTATTTATTTTTGCGAGAGAGAAAGAGAGAGAGAGAGCACAAGTGGGAAGGGGCACAGAGAGAAAGGGAGATACAGAATCTGAAACTGGCTCCGGACTCCGAGCTGTCAGCACAGAGCCTGAGGCAGGGCTCAAACTTGGGAATGGTGAGATCATGACCCCAGCCAAAATCAATAATCAGGATGCTTAACCGACTGAGCCTCCCAGCCAACCCAACAGTGCTCTTTGTTTTATCTACCTTATGGATGAATCTCTGAGAGGGAAATCATTTGTTCAGGGTGACTGATGGCAAGTCAGAGGGCCAAGTCCAGAAGTTTCCCCTTCTTCTTCGGGTCACTTCCCTGATTGTCCGGGATTGACCCCAGGCCTTGGTGTTGAGTCCTTTTGTTAATTTCCTGACTACTCATCACAAGGTACCAGGCGCTGGGGTGTCAAGAGGTAAAACCAGGTCCCTGCCATCAGACCGACTTTGTTGTATCAGCAAGACTCTCTCTGACTACCCAGGACCTGCCCTGCCTTTGTAGAGGCTCACACTCCAGTCCAGGGCTTGGGCTCTCTGCACTCTTGGGCTCAAATCTTGACTCTACCAACAGCTCAACTATGTGGCCTTTGATAAAACCTGCTTGGGGAAGTCCTCATGGTTTTGTAACATGATGACAGCACAGGGTGGCCACATCAGTGCCTCTCAATGCCTGTATAACCTGTGGACCTCTGATACAGAAGTCACCCAGATAAATGAATTAGGGCAGGCCCAGCCAATGGAGACTGGCGGCTGGGGGGGGGGGGGGGGGGGGGGGGGGGGGGGGGGGGGGGGGAGGGTGGAGGAGGGGGCGGGGAACCTGGGAGACTACACACTAAGCAGCCTCCCAGGTGATTCCCTCGTGCAGGAAGGACCCCCTCGGCTCAGTCCTCTCTGAGGATCGTTCCACTGTACATTCTGGGATCCTGGAGACCAGGTCCTTGCCTAAGGCAGCCTGGGGTTTGGAAAGTGACGACTTGCTGGGGTCTCCTCCTCTCTCCCGTCAGCTCCACCAGGCTTTAGAGCAAGATTCATCAATTTCCTTAAATTTCTGGTCAGCTGGGAGTATTTCTTTCCTTGTTCGGTGTGGAGAGGGGACTTGAGAGAAGGAAGGCATCCTGCCGAAGTTAGGAACTCTAGACTGCGATTGCAAGTGGAGCACCGTGGGGTGCTGTGGGGCACTGGGGACCTCTGGGTTCCGATCCCACCCTGTGTCACCTTGGACGGGGGGAGGGCGTGGGACTCGGAAAACAGCTGTGGGCTTTCAAGGTCCAGACAGAGCTAGACGTGACAGCTCTGACTCTGGCATTCTGGGGATACCAGAGACACCCCCCTTTCTGGGGCTCCTTGGTTTGTCTGGTTGGGAGGCGTGGCTCAAGTCCCCAAAGTAGGAAGAGACGCCAACCTTGTCAAAGCAGTCCGGGAAAGCAGCAGCCCTCGCCCAAGATGATCAGAGAGAGGCTTGGAATTGTGTAAAATTTCTGGACATAAGATACTCCATTTTAAAGCTCCATTTTCCTTTCTGGCTAACGAAGTCAAACTCCTGACCGGGGCCACAAGTGGCAACTGTTTTACCAGCAATTGCTCATAAATGTCAACAAGGGCAACTGACACTCAGATCTCATGGGGACAGTAAAGTGAATCAGCAGGGTCCCCCCCCCCCCGCCTCCTGTTCTTTATCTAGATCATGTAATTTACCCCTTCCTTCTTTCTTATAAAACCCCTGGCTTTCCCCACATGAGCAAGAACACTTTTCTGTGCTCCCCGAATTGCAATTCTGAGACCTTCCAATAAAGGCTTTGCTCTTTCTCAGTTTCGCCTCCTTTTCTCGAATGACAGAGGTGAGCATTTCTCCAGCGAGCTCAGCTAAAGGTCGGGCTCCCCACAGCCCTCCCTGCGCACAGCATTCCAGCGGAGGGCCTGGAGCCCAGACTCCTGAGTCAGTTCGGTAAGATGACCCAACCGGAAAACTGAGGCTCAGGCAAGGACAGCCCTGGCCCCAGGTCCTCCGGATAAGGAAAGCCTGTGTCCGCCTCAGCGCTGTGCGTCCCCACGCGCCTCTACCAATTCTAGGACGCGGAGACAGTGCATGCGGCACGGGTTTGGCACCGGGCTCAGCTCCTGCGCCCCAGTCTATCTTGCAGACGGTCGGCTCCACCCGCCTCGCCGCTCCGCGCTCTGGGCACCAGGCTCAGCTCCCCGACGCGCGCCCCATCCCGTCCCTGGTCCAGGCCAGGGATGAGGCAAAGGACTTCCCCCGGCTCACACTCTGCACATTCCCTTCTCCCTCCTTCCAGCCTTGCTGTGTGACCTCAGGAAAGGAGCTGCCAGGCTCTGAGCCTGGATTGCCCGGCCGACTTGAGGGGTGCAGAAGGGACCCTGGTCACCTACCGCTGCTCGCAGGACTCCCTGGGCTGCCGGTGGCTTCTCCCTCCTGCCAGCTCTGGAGCTGTGGCCAGACTGGGGCAGATCCACTGCCCAGCCACCCTACCTCACCCCCTGCGGCTGCCCTTTTCTCTTTCACTTTCTCTCTGCACCGCGGGATTTGGGCCAAGCTGGGGAGTAAGCAGGCACCCACGCCTCCCTCTGCTGCACCCACCACGTGTTTTCTCTGAAGCGCCTGGGTTGTATCCCTACACTCCTGGGCTCCCCCAGAACGTCACTCAGCTCCTGGAAGTGGCCAGTCCCTGCCTGAGGGGAGCCCGCTGCGCCTCGCCCACCTGCATGTAATCTGCAAGTCCGGGCTTGCAGGCAGCCCGCCCCCTTCGCTTTTGCAAGGCTTCGATTTCTCTCCAGCTCAGCCCAGCTGTGAAGGTGGCAAACGACCCTCCTTCACAGGACGTGGGACTCAGAGACTTGCTCGCTGAGCCATTCACTCCTGGGAAGCCAAATGCCCTTGAGAGGAAAGAGGAAATTCCTCTGGGATCTCAAAGGGCTGGAAACTGAACCTCGGCAACGTGCCTCCCCCTCCCCTCACTGAACGGCATTCCCCATTCCTCCTCCAGAGGTCTTGGACACCAGCTCCACACACCACGAGACCTTGCGGAGGTCACCTCCTTTCCCAGGCTTGGATTTCCTGCCTGGAATTGAAGGGGTGAGTCAAGGTGACTTCTGACCTCTCCTTCCCTAGCCAAACTCAACAAGCTCTATTCAACAGAGCTGGAAAACTTACTCTCAGTGTGTGGGTTCAGAGAAAGCCACACGTTTCGGCGGTGCCTGAGGAAGGGAGCCCCATCCCTCTCAAACACACATCAGCGACACCAATACTATCAGGCTCCTAGATGACACTTAGTTCCTCCAGGGTGCCAGGCACTGTGCTAGACAGACCCTTCTATCCCCACTATTGTCCCCCATCATAGAGTTTTCCCCTTCCCCTTTTTTTACAGCCCGGGAAAGCGTCTCAAGAGAAGCGTGGTGACATGTCCGGGGTCACATCACAGCCAGCCAGCAATGCAGCTGGGATTCAAACATGCCGCACCGATGCCAGAGCTGGTGCCAGACATCTGTGCTTTGGGGTCTCTCACCCTCTATCTCTTGCCCCCCCCACTTCTTCCCCAACACACAATTTGGAAACTGGGAAGATGATGGCCTCTGTTTAGGTGACTGGCCATTGCTGGCCAGTGGGGGGCTGCCACACACCAAGGAACTGACTCTGGCTTTGGTTTTCCAGCTTCCTCAAGGGATGGGGTGGGGTTGGGCAGGGATCCGTCCTGCAAGGGCACCCCTCAGTGTTTACCTAGGAGAGAGAGGACCTTGTGGTTGGCTGAGTCAGGCCACCAATGCTCAGAGCTGACGACACGCCTCCGCAATGCTGGCCCACTAGAACACTTGAGCGCTGATAAAAGTGCTCTCACGTGCCAAGCACCTGGGCTGATCTGAAAGCCCCTCAAGAGGTAGGGAATAGCCAACCACCTCACTTTCTACAACAGCCCCAATGGCACAAGGGCCCCTCTTTCCGCCCTCATCCCCGGGTCAGAGATGGCCAGACCAGCTGAGACCTCACCCTGAATCAAGAAGCCTTCTCAGCCCCAACTTCCTCCGCCAGCGGTTTTACCTTGGGGCTCAGGCAGGTAGGACCCCGCGGGGCGTGGAGCCAGGCAACGCATGGTCTGGGAAACACAGTGAGGCAGCCTCTCCCGGAGTCTGACAGCCCCTCCTGGTGCCCTCAGCCTCCCCAGCGATGCCTCAGACTGTCCAGCGCAGGAGCAGACAGCTTCATCTCCAGTTGGTTCCCCCACACCAGTCCGGAGCCAGAGCCCACCAAGCCTAAGCCAGCATGCAAAGGAAGCAAGCAAGGGACCAACAGAAAACTCTGCCCCTATGACATGGCATCCAGCTGCCAGATTTCTCTGTCTGAGAACTCTCTCATTTGCCTACGCTCCCTTAAGCCCTCCCCTGGCCTCAGATGTGGATTTCAGTTCCTTGTTGTAGACTACATGGGGTGACTGTAGAAGGTTGAGACTTGTCTCGTGGGGGGCGCCCTTTGACACACTGACAGTCTCAAATGACGGTGGCCATAGTGAAGCCATACTGATGCCAGTTGCCAGTATCTGCCATCCTCTGCAAGACGGGCGCCAGGATCAGAGTCCCACAAATGCCTCAAGACAGGCTGAGCGCCACCTGTCCCTGCCCACCCTGGGGTCCAGCAGACCTCCCAGATTCCCCTTCCCCCCACCCCACCCCCACCCCCACACCAAATCGCCCTGAATTCCCTTGGAGACCGTGAGTGGTCCACTCATCACTTTTACTCCAAGACATTGGACCCAAACGTGAATTACACATAAAAGGAAGCTATCCCAAATGTGACCTACTTACAAGCCAGACGGTTTGGGGTGACACATAGATGCATTTATAAATAGCATGGACGCCCCCTGGTAGAAAGTTAGTATCCTTGCAAATCTCTCCCCATGCTCCTCATGGCATCCAGGAGAAGGTCTGTGTCTGGGGCTCCTAGGTCTTGAAGACCTGTTCAAAAACAGCCATCCCTGTTTCGCAGAGGGCAGCCCCCAGCCTCAAGCCTTCAGGAAGACGACAGCGTCTGGCCAGATGGTGTAAACACTGCTCTGCCTTCCTGTTCCATAGTTACCTTCAAAGGGGGCTTTTCTTTTCATTTATGGTGGACATACACTTTCCTTGCAAAATAAAGTTGGATTGCAAAGAAAATGCGAGTGCTTTGTAAAAACACCTGTCCGGCAAATAATAGCATAGAAAGTGGGCAGAGAACACCAGGGTGGGGCTGAGGTGAAGGAAGTTTGGGCAGCACTGAAAGGCACCGCCTGCATTTTTACTGAAAGAGCACTGGTTTGGGAGTCCCAAGAGCGGGCGTCAAGCCCCTGCTGTTACTAGCAGGTGTGTGACCGTGGACCCCTCATTTCCCTTGTGTGGGCCTCCGCGGCCCCACATATGAAATCAAGATGATAATCCCTACCTTGGGAGCATGATTATTTTGAAACAGCCCCTGCTTTCGGAAGTCTCTGGGAGGAAGTAGGCAGATGAGTGGCAAATGCTAACAGTCAATGTGAAACAGGGTCTTGTCTTGGATGGCTAATATAACAGACGTGACAAATATTAGAAATCTCAAGAAGTCTCATCTTCCCATGACCTGGTGCCAAGGGAGAGGCACCCCTGGGCATTTAGTTGTCTCGAGGCCACGTAGGAGGGTCTCTTCCTGTCCTCGGAAGCAGCCAGTTCCGACGGCCACGGCCAAGGCTGTTCTGAATCAGTTTCATGGCAGGACCGAGCTCGCCACGAGAGTCTGGTCAGACTGGCGGTGCACCTGCGTGGACGTCTGCATCTGTGAGCTGGCCTGATCTCATCTCTGCTACCTGACCTTTCCACATTCTCCCTGATCCCCTCCAGGCCCACTCCCAAGGCCCAAACCTGGCCATGCCTGGGTCAGCACAGGTCTCTGAGCCGGGGGATGACATGTACCAGGCTGCACGATTGGCTGATGCCAGAGGCTCATGATTCCACCTGAGCCCAAGGCTGCTTTGGATATAATCCATTCCCTCCCTAATGAGCGGCCCTCTCTTGCCCCAGGGAAGCTTAGTCTTCCTGGTAAGACTATCATTCGGCAAAGCTTGCCCTCCCTTGCTACGGCCTCCCAAACAAAGCTTCTGGGCCCTATGGCCCTACGGCCCTACGGCCCTACCACTGCGGGTACCTCTGCCCTAGCAAAGTCCCAGCCAGGACTGAGAGCCTGCCTCCTCCCCATCCAGATATATTTTAGCCATCCTTCAAGGCCCAAGTGTCTGCCTCCATCACCCTTCCAGCTAACAAAAATCTTACACTTTATTCATTTTCAGCTAACTTGTTGCCATGTATCTGGCAAAGCATCTTTCTATTTCATAACTATAGACTTTGTCGCTGCCAATAAGGTTGGAGTGTTTTATTTTCTAACTTAAAAGTCACACCACCCTGGGGCGCCTGGGTGGCTCAGTTGGTTGAGCATCCGACTTCGGCTCAGGTCATGATCTCGTGGTTTACGGGGTCGAGCCCCGCGTCAGGCTCTGTGCTGACAGCCCAGAGCCTGCAGCCTGCTTCAGATTCTGCGTCTCCCTCTCTCTCTGCCCCTCTCCTGCTCTCTCGCTCACACACTCAAAAATAAACATTAAAAATTTTTTTTTTAAAAAGGCACACCACCCCAAGGTTGTTTGAATGAAGGAATGGACTTTGGATTTGAACGATCCAGGAAGGTTCAAGTCCCAAATGGTGAAGAGTCCCCTCTCCTAGGGTGTAAGTGCATTTTAGGGGTTTTGGTGCCCACCAAAATCTCTAGCAGGTGCTACAATGGTGATTAAGTAAGAGGGAAGGAAGGAGGGAAAAGAAGTCAATAGAGACATAGGTGAATAAATATTACAAATCTTGTACGTATCCAGATTAGGCAGGTAGGAAAGTGCATGAGAACGCAGCCTCATGCTGAGTAAGTTAACACATGAAACTATAAAAGAATAGGTAAATTGATAAGCATATATAAGTGGATACTAGAGTTAATTTGATGGATTGAGAAGTAGAGCTTGGTAGGTGGTTCTGGGGACCGGGTAAATTTGAGGACAGGCAGGTCGGTGGGTGGGCAGGTGGCCGGAGGGAAGACTAGAGACTAAGTCAGGACACAGGTGAGCTGCTTAAGGTAACAGAGAACAGAAACCATGGCCGGTTGGGTCAGGTGCTAGGCTTGCAGCCAAGCAGGGTATGAACCAGGCCACCGGTCGGCCTGGGAAAACCCATGGGGAAGTGCCAACTTCCGGCTCCTGGGGGTGAAGGTGAAGTGCGTCTGCCTGACTGTGGAGCCGCCCCACGTGAAAGGAGAGTAGTGGCTCTGGCCAGCGCATCTCCGCCTCCTCCAGGGACGCACGGGAAGGTCCTCCAGATCAGAGCCCAAGCGGATCTTGGGAGAGGAAAGAGGGGGGCAGGAGGGCACAGTGCCCCCTCCTCTCCGAGGTCTGGGTGCGGTGGCTCTCTCTGGGGTTGAGAGCCAAGTGGGGAAGGAAGCTTGGCAGCCTGAGGCGGGCCCCTCCCTCCCTTTCCAATAAATCACGCAATATCCTAGAGGGAGACTTAGTTCCGAGGTTCCTAGAACAGAGTCCCGGTGGGCAAAAATAGCACATCGTGAAAACACAGAGCTACAAACAAAAGAAAGCCAAAGAAAACAATAAAAGATAGAGCCACGGAGTGGGGGTGTCCTGCGGCATTGACATTTGCCCAAAGGCACTGCTGTGCCCACTCTCCATTCACAAGCCCCACCCGGTGGCTTTCATCTTTATGTGAACCTGGGGGTGGGGGGGGTCGCTCCCCAAACGCCACCACAGGGGCTGATGAGTCAGAATCCGCTCTCTTCTTGCCAGAAATGCATGTGCTCCACACTGACTGAGGTCACTGAACCCTTAGAGCATCGCCCTGGGTACTATGATCGCCTCCATCTTACAGATGCAGGAAACTGAGGCCCAGTGGGGTTCCAGAAAGCACTCACAGCCATACCCCTCGGAATGAGGGAGCCATGACCAGCACCCAGGCAGTCTGAGGGCGGAGACCATGTGCCTACCAATGTGCCAGCCTAACGGTGGGGACACAGGGATGCATTTCTCAGATATACAAAGCACCCGAGCACTCAGCGCTGTGTTTCTTGTGGGGTAGGGGTCTAGGTTCTCTGTGGGACGCCCACCCCCTGGCCCTGTGAGACCGTAAACACAATTGTTTGCTCTGCACCTCAACCCCCTGGGTTACTCTTCCCCATGCAATCCTCCTGGCTGCCTCCCCACTAGAGTAAGCTGTCTAATGCCAAGTCCTGCCTTGAGTAGTTTCCGGCCACCATCTCATTTAACCTTCACTACAGCTTTCGGAGCTTTATATCATCACACCACTTTCAAGATGAAGAAACTGCAGCTCAGAGTGATCAGGTCACAGTCACATGGTTTGTAAGGAGCAGAGCGTGGCCTCAGACCTGGAGCTACCGGGCTCCAGCCTGGTCTTTCTCCATCACTGCCATCTTAACTCTCCCTTCTCTGTCCTTGGATTGCTTCCACATATCGTCACCCGCTGTCACCAAAGAATGCCTGAGCGTTTGCTCTGACTCCCCAGGGAAGCTGCTTAGTTCCGTTGGGACAAGGACCTTGCCAGTCAGGCCTCCCCTAACCCCTGGGGTTGCCTGGGGTTGGATGCACTCGTGCAGCCTTGTGCAGCACAGAGGCAACGCCCCCCTAAGGTTGCGTCCCCAGAACTAGGCTTTCTGCACCACTGCAATGAGGCCCTGCGGTAGCTGAAGGTGTCTTCTGAGTCACGCGCGTAGTTTCGGTTTGCATTTGGTCAGCCCGTCGGGGGTAGATTTACAGTACCCCCCTGGTTGTTTTGAAGAGGCCTCCAAGCAGAAAGCGCAGGGGTAGATCTGGACTTGTGAGACTCCAGAGTCCCCTCCCCAGGCCATGACCTGTGGCAAATCTCTTCACCCCCCTGTGCCTCAGTTTGCCCACCTGTAAAGTGAGAATAACAATAGTACCTGAACCATCCACCCAGCCACTCACCGGCCACCCATCTACCCACTGCCTTGTCCACCCGCCCATCCATCCATCCCTCCACGCATCCATTCAACCACCCACCAGTCCACAAGTATGGCTTGCACACCTACCCAGTGCCAGGCACCGTAGGCACTTGGGATGCGATAATGATCAAAATACAGATCCTTGCCCGCATGGAGCTCATCTTCCAGTGGGTTGTCAGATATAATACAAAAGTAAAACATAGAGAAGGTGAAAATGCCAGTCTAGGGAGGGGGCCCGGAGTGTGGCTGGGGGCCTGCAATTCTAAATGTGACGCTCAGGGGAGGCCTCGTTGAGAAGGTGAAATTTGTGCACAGAGCTGAGGAGGCGGGCCAAGAAGCCATCTGGCGAGGAGTGTTCAGGTAGTGGGAACATCACATGCCAAGGTCCTGTGGTTGAGAGCATGCCAGTCCTGTCCCAGGGGCACCAGGGGTGCCAGCACGGCTGGAGGAGATGAGCACAAGGACGGGACGAGAGCAGAGCCCTGACGAGAGCCACACAGTGATGGGCCCTGTGGGCCACTGTCCAGATTTAGCTTTTCCTCTAAATGGCGGGGAGCTAGTGCTGGGTTTAGAGCAGTGGAGGGTGAAGATCGTTAAGGGCTGTGGGGAGGGTTACAAAACCTTCACATGATGATTTCCTTTTCTGAACCCCCATTGAAACCAAAGTCAGGGCCTTTCTTTACAAAGCACCGGGTTTCTTCCTCTTCGCCTCCTTCCCCTTGGACGGCTGCTCCCTCCGGGCTTGCACCACACCCCCACCTGCCCGCAGTCCTGGGCGCACCTAGGAGGCCCGGAGGGGAGCTGCCTGGGCACCAGAGGAAAGAGCAGGGAAAGGAGGCAAACTGCCCCTTCTCTGTCTCCCGGCCCTGTAAGGACCGCGTCACCCCAAGCCTAGTTCCCTTTCTAGAGTCACATGGGATCAGAAATAAAAATATTATACCCCCGGGGAGGAAACAGAGTTAAATAACAGGAACCAGCAGACAGAGGAGGGAGGGGCTGAGGTGTGAGGCAGCCTCCATATAAAGCAGCATGCGGTTAGCCGGTAGAGGGGATGGCTTCAACTCCCCCCCCTCGCCCCCCGCCCCCCGCCCGACCCCGGGGTGCCTGCTGTGCCCCCATCAAGGCCACGCAGGCTGCTTGCATCCCCGTGAAGAAGTCAGGGCCGTCGTTCGGGTGGGAGACCGGGAGAATAAGAGATGTATTAAAAAACCAACAGAAACCACCTGGGCGAGAATTTAATCACGAGGAAAGCCAACCCCGTGTGAACTTGGTCTTGGCAAAAGGGCGAAAGAAATACACCGCCCCGCTGCCTGAATGCAGACTGTCAGAAGGCCATTTACTCCCCCAAAGCCGGGGCGGAGGAGAAGGCTTGTCTACTTCCAATCCCGCCTCCCGCACTTCCCACCTGGGGACCCCGCGTGTCTCCCCTGGGGAGAGGCGTCCTTTGTTTGTGGTTGGTGATCCCTAAGAGCGTCATGCCCGGCACACGGCAAATACTCCACCACTGTGAATCCTTGTCATCCTCTCCCATTTCAAGTTCCTCCGAAGCCATGAAGGGACCAAGCGTGCCCGGAGTTTATCACTCCGAGTCATAAAATGGGAAAAGCACAGATTTGGGTAAAGCAGGAGACAGAATAACCATGTGTCTTTGGGAAGAACGCTGTTTGCAACAAAGTGAGAACCTCTTTGCAAACAGGGAAGGAAGGAGTGAAATGTTCAAGGAGCCAGAGGTGTGGGTGGCAAGGACATCGTGGAGGCTTGTCTTTCTGATTGAAGATGCGTCGAGTGTCGTCAATGTTCTGAAAGTGAGACACTCTTCCTGTCTTCTCTCTGATCTGGTTCCTTCCTATCGGGTGTCTGTCTCCCTCTTTCTCTCTCTCTCCCCACCCCACCTTCTCCCTCTTTCTCCCCACCACCCTCCGTCCCTTCCCCCTCTCCATCTATCTGTCTTTCTGTTCTGTCTCTCCCTTCCTTCCTCTCTCCGTCTGTCTTTTGATTTGTGTCTCTTGCTGACCCAGGTGCACACACACGCATGCACATACACAAATGTGCCCACACACGGCCTCCTCTGCTCTCCAGCTGCACAGCCCCTCCTCTGTCTGGCGCCTCATTTCTCCATCTTGGAACCGCACCGAGTGTCCATGTCCACCTTCAGCACAGGACCTCGAGCTCCTTGCAGGCAGGAGCTGATCGGTGCCCCCAGCCCCAGTGCCCAGCACAGTGCCTGGCCCATCAAGGCCGCTCAGAGAGTGAATCGAGCAGGCAGGTGATTGCATGCTTCCAGGATGGGCTTCTCTTACACAGAGCAGAACGCGCCCCAGACACACCCCACACACCCGACATCACAGACGTAGCTCCTCAGGCCCTGGCTGCCTCCCGCCAGCTCAGCCAGCGGCCCCGGCTCCTACCCAGGTCCTGGGGACAGGGATCATCATACTGACTTTCCTTCCAGAGAGGAGGGAGGATCCTTGCTCTGCCTACTGCCAGTCATTGCTACTCGAGCCAAAGGGATGCCAACTTACCACCGTGGTCCTTGTGGTCGGGGTCCCTCTCAGCCCCTGGGGCCTGCCACCCCCGCCACGCCCATCTCGAGAGGGCCAAGTCTGGGTCCCCTTTTTCCAGCAGGCTCAAGGAGATCTTCCTGGCCAGGGCCTCGGCGTCCGGCTCATGGAGCAGAGCGCAGTGGTATTCCCCGGACAGGAGCCCTGTCTCCAGCATGCTGTCCAGGAGCGCCCGCACCTGGCCCGGCCGATGGCCGGCCAGCAGCATCCGGACCCGTGTCAGGATGGTCTGGAAGTGGTTCATGGCAGCGCTCGGAGGCCGGCCAGCTGCCTGGGCCAGAGCCTGGGATCTCTGCTCACCCAGCCGGCAGCATCCAGAAACATGAAGTGAAAACCAGGAGGAGGGAACCTCCGTAGTTAGTTGCCGTTTATTCCTGCTTAAGAAGGTTTCCTCATTTGTGTCATAGGCCGGGGTGCCTGGTGTGTGGCTGGAAATGGGTGCTCAGGCTGATTCTGACCCCACAGATACTTGCTGGTACCGCCCACGTACCTGCCACAAGGAAGCCCAAGCCTGAGATGCAATGTGGGATTTATGAAACGGAAGGGGACTTGCCTCTTTGGGGACTTACACAGGGATAGTTCTTTTGGGATGCTTTATCCTAACTGGGGCAGACACGGTAAAACAACTGGCTTTGGAGCCAGTCTGCTGGGTCTCAAATCCCACATCTGTTTGCCAATCATGTGACCTTGAGCTTGGCATTGCTCTCCCGGCCTCCAATCCTCCCCCTGGAAAGGCTGGGTGATAGAAATGGTACGTAAGCTCACTGAGTTGGATGGAGTGTTAGTAACAGTGCTGACCTGGGGGTGTTGAGAGAAGTAAATGAAATAATACGTGTAGAGCACCTAACACTCTGCACCATAATAATAGTTTAATAAATATGACCCATTACTATTATTATTATTATTATTATTACTGTCTTGGTTATGATTGATTAATGGTGCGTACAACTCTGTCATCTTGGGCTTAGCCTCACAAAACCTCAGTCCCCTCCTTAGCAAAACCTCCCAATAAAAGTAATCAAATCTCATCAAGTTATCTTGAGGATTGAAGGAAATAATGCATTGAAAGGGCTTCACATTGGACCTGGTAAGCATTTAGTAAACACTGACTATATAAGAATATCATCCCTGGGGCATCTGGGTGGCTCCATCAGTTAAGCAAACGGTTAAGCTTCCGGCTCTTGGCTTTGGCTCAGGTCATGATCCCACGATTCGTGAGTTTGAGCCCCGCATCGGGCTCTGCACTGATAGCATGGAGCCTGCTTGGGATTCTCCCTCTCCCTCTCTTTCTGCCCCTCCCCTGCTTGTGCTTTCCCTCTCTCTTTCAAAATAAATAAATAACATTTTTAAAAAAAGAATATCATCTTCTGATTTACTAATGCACAAAACAGAGGCTTTGTATCGGAGCCAGTCTGTTCAAAACTTCTCAATTTGGCAAAAAGAAAACAAATCTGTGAAGCCCAGCAAACTTCAAGAGGGATAAATACAAAGAAACCACACCTAGGTACAACAGTCAAACCACTAGAAACCAAAGATAAGGAGAGACTCATGAACAGGTTACATCAAAGAGAGCAGTTGAAGACCACTGACTTTTCATTAGAAACCATGAAGGCTAGAAGACAGTGGAACGATATCTTAGAAGAACTGAACTTGTCAACACAGATTTCTAAACCCAGTGAAAATACCCTTCACGAGTGCAGGAAATATAGATATACCTTAAATATAGATATACCTTCAGATAAAGGAAAAACTAAAAGGGTGTGTTGCAGCAGACCTATATGTCAAGAAATGAGAAAATACGTTCTTTCTGTGGGAGGAAAATGATATCACTTAGGAACTCAGATCTATAGGAAGGATTCAAGAACATTCAAAGTAGAAAATAAAAGATTGGTATTTTTCCTCTTAATTTATTTAAAAACATAACCACTGAAAGCAAAAACTGTAATATGGTCTATGGCAATAGGCGTAATACATAACGATGACTATCGCATAAAGATGTTATAACATAGAGGGTGGTTATCGACCTATGTAGTTGCGGCATTTCTAGGCTGTATATCAGAGTGTTAGAATGTTACCCCTGTGTAGGTTGGGGTAAATAGAAGACGTATATTATAATCCCTTGGGCACCTACCAAAACATAATGCAAAAAGGGACAGCTAACAAGCAACTAGAAATTAATACAGAATTCTGAACGAGGTACACTCTCTACTCTTGGTTTGAATAAGCCATCCAACAGGATCATGACATTATAAACTGTATACATAAAGGCAGAAAGTAGGAAATTCCAAAGCTCTTCTCACCTGACAAAGTGTTTGTACCTTTCAGCGAGCAGAGATGTCCATGTAAATAGTATTCCCAGGGCAACACATCATCGAGTAGGATAATAAAAATTGCATACTTTTGGAAAATCAATAATTTTTGCAGCCTGAATTTTTAAAAAAGACTCCTTTGTAGAAACAGCACATTGGAGAATAGTTTTACAAGCACGAAACAAAGCATTGCGTGTTCACACGTCTCTTGTGACAGGAGATTGAGATGGATACTTATGCAAATGCTCTCGGCTTTCGCAGAACTAACTTTGGGATGTGGCATGTGATTGCTGCAGCCAGAGGCAAAGAGGTAACTTTCTCCCTCCTTTTTTCCTGAGGTTTCTCTTCCTGGCAGTGAGGAGAGCATATCTGGGACAAGGCGGTAATGCCCACCTATCAGTCCTGAGAGGAAGAGAGGAGGTTTGAGGAGCTTAAAACTTTGAGGAGTTAGGAAAGAAGGAGCCCAAAGGGAGTTTCAACGGATGGAATCGGTGATATGGAACCTTCAGCCATGGCTGTGGAGGTGATAACAAGGGGTCGGTTAGAGCATGAGTGGGGGTGGGGCAGAGAGACAAAGGGAGACACAGAATAGGAAGCAGCCTCCAGACTCTGAGGTGTCAGCACAGAGCCCGACGCGGGACTTGAACTCACGAACCACGAGATCATGACCTGAGCCAAAGTCGGACACTTAACTGCCTGAGCCCCCCAGGCACCCCGGAAACCATGTTCGTAAATACCTAATCTCTTAGGCACTTGAGAGAGAGGACCCAGCCATGAGGATCCCTCCTCACCCATGAAGGTGGGGATGGAGGATGGAAGGTGGGGTGGCGGATCAGGAAACAGCAAACACGGGGGACACACGACCAGGGATAAGGGTGAGTTCTCCTGGCTGCTTGTCAGGCTGCCTTCCTCCTTGCTATCAACCCAGCCACCACCCAGTCACGTGCTTCACCAGGAAAACCTGGGTGCTGGCCTCCGCCTGGCCACTGATTCACTGTGCCACCACAGGCAAAACATTTCCTCTCTCTGGACCACAATGCCGTCACCTGTCACATAAGCGGGTCCGATCACAGGGTGGCTAGGATGCCTTCCAGTTTCGAAACAGTGGAAGTGCTACCTAACTGCAAAACCCACTGGCCCCAGAAAATCCCCCGCGTTCAGTCGTGAGGCATCTCCTGCACTTCTCATGTCTTCAGGTATCCGGGTCCCCCTGCATGACTTCTCTTCCCCCTCGTGATCGCATGGTGTGTGTGCTGTTAGCAGATGGTGTTCTGCTTGAGTCTCGCTTACTTATTTATCGTAGAAGGCGGTTTCATGTCCCCATCACGGGGAAGTCGCATCGCGTGTCCAAGGGGAGTGAGCAACTGAGACGAACACGGGGAGACTAAAGCAATACAAAAGTTGAGGCCCTCATACCGATCGAAGCTTCTGCTCCTGAGGTCCAGTCTCTGTGACCGGTGAGCAGGTGTCAGAGAGATATGAGAAGTAGACTTGCCCCCAAAGGAGCTGCCTGCATGTGTACCCCGGGGAAAGTTCTAGACGCTGTCAGTGAGGGTGTAGAAAAATGGGAGTTGTCCTGCTTCCCTGGAGGGCACATGCAATGGTGCCACCAACTAGGGTAGTGGGTAGGGAGCATCTATTAAAATGGGAGAAGAATATGCCCACCGTGTCCGCTCCTCAGTATACATGGGGGAGGGGGGGAATCCTTACACATGTGCGCGTCACACACGAGGCAGGATTAAATAAGTACATAAGTAAAGATAAAAATAAACACAAAAGTAGATATAAATGTCTTTTACAAACCTTCTGGAGCAAGTGTGGCTGTAATAAAATAAACATAATGGACCCAATGGAAGTGAGGGAGTTAGTGGCTGTTAAAGTAAAGTCAGTCAAATCAACTATGCATTAGGATCTAGGGTACCTTCTAAAGGTTGAATGGTTGAGTCTTTACAATTTTCTCCCCTTCCATTTCACAGCAGTGGGGTGTGACACATGACAACCAACGGCCCGGGCACGTGGGTGGTACAGTCAGTTGAGCATCCAACTCTTGGTTTTTGGCTCAGGTCATGACCTCAGGGTCATGACAGGGGATTGAGCCCCCTGTCAGGCTCATTAATAAAAGCCAGTAACACTGATATTATAATCATAAAACCTTGCTTCTTGTGTTCTTCTCACTTTGTCAAAGCCTGAAGCCACACAAAACATCACCAGAGCTTAGCTGACTCTGTGTGGTCATATCGCCCTGGAGGAGAGAGCTCATGGAGTCGCAAACATTGAAGAATGAAATCATAGATATGTTATTTGTCACTGTTCATACACGTTAAAATGCCTTCCTCTCTGAGATGGGCATTCTTTTTTTTTTTTTTAATTTTTAAGTTTATGTATTCACTCTGAGGGAGAGAGACAGAGAGAGTGAGCGAGCACGCAGGCAGAAAAAGAGGGAGAGAGAATCCCAAGCAAGCTCTGCACTGTCAGCACAAAACCCATCGTGGGGCTCAAACCCACGAACCGTGAGATCCTGACCTCAGATGAAGGCAGATGCTTAACTGACTGAGCCACCTAGGCGCCCCAAGATGGGCTTTCTTAAGCCTCACACACAATACATGAAATTTGCTGTGAGCTTACAAAGCATCCAACTTTGCAATGAAAATTAAATAAGTTGAAGAAACATAGATTACAGCCTGAATTGGGAGTGGAATTCAAATTCTCCGGATACCTCGCTAGGCTCCAAACAGCTGTCCCCAACTAGGCAGGTGTAGTTTGGTCATTTCACCATCGCAGGATTGTCAAACACTATCTTCCAATACACAGCACTTCTCTCTCAAATGATCATTTCTCCTCAGAAGTATAGTCAGAGGGCTCTAATGACTCATGACTTGTAACGATTCTGGAAGAAATTACAGACAAGCAATCACGAATGACGAGGGCCACAAAAGGTG